GATACACTTTAGATAAAAATCATTCCTACTCCGGTCGGAATAGATGTATATAATTAATAATTACCCGGACACGTAAAAGGGGATTCAGCTTAAAACTCCCCGTGCCATTTAATTTTACAAGTTTCCAGTACTATAATTCATTTTATTTTGAATAATTTACAAAGTTGCCAGATGACTTGGAGAGAGCTTCTTCCTCAAAGTTACAACAATATCCCAGTCTGGTTAAAAAAGGGGAAATCAGGGATTGTAAATACTTTCAGAAATAAAATATTTTCTTACGTAAGGCTAAGGGACCCTTCAACATTTTCAAGGGGAGGCAACAGATACCTCTGTTTTCCTTGTGTGCACACCTTTGGGGTTTAGAAAATGTTATCAAAATACTCATGACTGATCGAAGCGTACGAGGTATTTCTTCATGAAAAGATATTTATTGAAATCGGTTCTTATTTCTCCAATTTTATCTTCCTGAGAGATAAACAATTCTAGATGACACTGTTTGAATGCAATAGCAATAATAAACTCGAAACAGGTAAACTTAACAATAGGTGGGCTGTGGTTATTGCCCAATCTGCCAAGTGAGTTGATAAATGATATATCTTCAATAACTCTAATAAAGGAAATGTTAGGATATCTTAAATAAAATTTCACGTAAGAACTAGCTCAAGTTAATATAATCAATATTACATGCCACATTAAAACAATTTATTCCGATGCATGTTGAAATAATTTACTTAAATTTATTGATATTATAAATGAAGTAACAGTCACCAATACAAAAGACTTTCAAACGTTGCAAGTACACCTTGCATAAAATTATCATAATGATAACCGTCATGTCATAACTGATACCACAGGAAACAATACAAACCCTTGACTTAAATATGTTGAACTATTTTCAGAATGCACATGAAAGGAAGGTACAGGCTGCAAGTGAAAGTTACGTGAAGTTTGAGAATATTCATAAATAAAGCAAGTGTAATATTACCTTCATATATGCATAACAATATTTTACATTAGTACACCATACAAATTGGCTATGCTTATAGCAGCTCCTTACCATACTTCAATTTAATAATTCACTACTAAAGAGTCTTCTTTGTAAATGATAACAACTACGAATAAAAAATACCTCATTAGAAAATCAATAAAGAAATTCATGAAAAATGCGGGGCATACATATCCTACAATTCACTGTCTTCGTTTAGTCGAACAAAAAATAAGACATATCTCATGGAAAAATGCAGCTTTCACGGCTAAAAAATGCCACATTCCCACGCTCTCCGACGTCTTGACTAGAATTGCACTAGTAAGCAAGATTCCGTTGAAATAGAGTCTTTTGGAAGAGGCGAAAGGTTTTACCTCTGTTGGGAGAAATAGTTCTTGAAACGAACGAGCTTCTCGAATTGTAGTGGTCAAAGCTGTGATTCCTTCTACACGTACCTGCAGGAAAGTCGCCCGGGCGGGACAACAAATTTGAAGTAAAAACGACATGAATAAGTTGAATATGAGCGACAGTAAAGTGACAATGCGTGGCAGAAACTTTAGGAATCACCAGAAACGTTTCTGCTTCTTTTCTGCATAGTTCAAAAGCGCTAGAGGAGACAGCGAAAACAGAAGCCAATACATACTAACCAACCTAAATGACTGCGTGAACAGATGGCCGTTTAAAAGAGGGTTAATTGATTTGTTAAGGGCAGTCAAATCCTACGGTCATAGTGTCGTTGGGGTAGTAAATGTTTTTAATTCAGAGGAGGTATTCCTGCACTGAAGTGCAAGTATGTGTGTGTTAGCAAACAGGATACAAGGAAAGGGGAGGAAAGATCGCGCGCGGTCCGTCGCTCATTTGTTAGGTTACTGCTGCAGCATTTGTCCGATACTGATCAGGGAAACCACGGAAAGCTACCGATCAGAGCAGCTAGCCGCTAGAGTTCTCTTCCAAACAGCGACAGACTTCGACCCAGCTATACAGCTAGAGTCAAAATCCGCGACCACCAGGACTCGAACCGTAGGACCTGCAGTGGCTGTCGTGTTTTAATAAATTGGTCTTATAGCGACCCCTCTTATATTTATTTAACTGTAGGCAAAGCATATAAGAACATCACAAACACACACAAACATCCATGCTTGAGGCGGGATTCGAACCCGCGGTCTTTTTAGCCGAGCCAGCTACGGCCCTTCAGCCTTACCGACCTCATCTATCCAAGCCAGCACGCCAAAATGGCCGGAAACGGAGATGATCACTTTATCTAGGACGCTATTCGAGAATGTTTTACTGTACCACTTAAGAGTGTGACCTTTTACTAAATACGAATGATATTCATTGTCTGTAGGTGATGTGGACTACTACATAAACGGTGGATTTACACAACCTGGGTGCTTGGTCCCCAAGAATATTCCGCCTATTAAGACTTTGGTTGATTTCTTGCAACTTCCAGTGCAAGGTAAGCAAACGATAAAAGAAATTTGATGAATGAATTGTCCTTTGAAACTTCTTTAACGCGTGTCATGTCGCTCGCAGTGATTGGCAACCTCGTGGCGTGCCCGCATGGACGCTCCACCCTGGTGTACATCGAGGCGATTCGCCAGCACAACTGCACCTTCTGGGGCCATCCCGGAAACTTCGTCGAGAACGTCGTGGGGTGAGTACATCGAGACTCAGCTTCAGGAAGCATCACAGATAGTGACATTCGATAGTATCTGTTTATTCTCTAATTACATGCACTTCACAATTTATGATTATGTTCAAAACGACCTAATTGCTTATATTCTATTGTCCTGATGTCCCGTTTCATGAAAAATTTGTTACGATGAATATAGGAAGCTACAGTTGAACAGACACTCGACTGTTGGGGATAATTCATTTGTGTATTGCTCGTATTCGCATTGCACGTCGGGAAAGGATGCTTACAAATTCTATGCAGTTTCTTCACGCCCTTCTTTGTCACTAACCATCATATTGTTCTACATCCCTTTCACACTGGCATTAGAACAAAGGTATCTAATTTCAACCTTTTAATGAATCTTCCAATTCCTATTTGCAGTGATTACTTAAAATTAACTAAATTCTACGACATTATAGATCAAATATTTTACTCATATACGAGTACATTGAACAGAAGAGTGGATCATAATTTCGTTATTTATAATTTAAAAAATCCAAGATACAATTAAATTCATTTTGAGTTTATGTCATTTATTTACTACTTATCAATTGGTCAAAGAAATTGTTAAATTTCGCTTTGTAGGTACATTCACGCCCTCTTCTACTGACAATCAATAAAATTTGAAAAACAAATAAAATGAATTTGCTCTTAATGTCGAAGGAACACATTCACATCATAAGGTGCACCACTTTAGGAGATCGCTTTCCTTACTTCAAATTCATTTCTATAGCATTCCTTTCGGAGAGTTTCAAGAGTGCTCAGAGCGCCGGGCTGCCAGCCCCGCTTGGTGTACTTCGCTTTCACAAGTTTGTTATTTCCTATTTGAAACATATCATCGGGCTGTTATCTCCTGTGTGCTCCTTGTGTCAAACTTCTAAACACAAGGGAAATCATTGTTTCAGTATTAATGATATATATCGCGCGTGGCTATGTCATAAATGTTTAAGACCCGTTTTCTCGAAACTATTATTATTGACATAACACCCTTTTCACGACAAGTCAATGTCGGAAGACTTGAAAATGCACGAAACGTTGCCCTACGTCCATTCAGCTAACAATTACTCTTAAGCGGAGATAAATATTATTCTCAAATATTCACCTGTGTTTCATATAATGTAACTAAATATGGACGATGTGGATGTGATAAATACTCAAGATACATGCGTAAATGGAAGTACCCGTTCGCTAGGTAGATCAAAAACGCACGACCGAACCGAGGGAATTAGAGCGCTCTTGCCGTAGAGTCCTCTGTTAAATAAGTGGCATGTTCTAATGATTCTTTTAAGTGAAAATCCTTCCTACACCTTCCTATCAGAAGGGACGAAAAGTCCACGGCGACGATTTTAGCCTGCAAAATAATCAAAAGCATAAATGAGGTCTTTGAGGAAAATTCCGAAAACGTTCAAATCTCTAGTATAAAGGATTACGACCCCAGGCTTGCCCCATACCCCATGTACACTCACAGTTAATGTTTCATATCCGAAATTCATATCGTCGAAATTCATGTGATTTACAACTTAGGCTACAGAACAAAATTTTGTTTTCAGACTTTTGGTTCTACTCAGTACACCACTCGTTATCTGCAAAGGAGGACTGAGAGTTTGGTTAACATCTGCGACCACCCGACCGTGTTCTAGCTTTGACCCAGAGTTCCTTCTGATAAGCAAAATCCACCCACCTGCCTGGCCGAGGCGTCTAAGAGCGTGTGCCGACTCAGCGCTTGGTCCGAAGAGTCGTGGGTTCGAGTCCCCACACTGAGCATGGTTGTTTGTCCCTTTTCTCTCGTGTACGTGTTATCGCAGAAGGCCTCGCAATCTGCTGACCCCAGATGAGAAGAGCCCGCAAGTGCGTTGGTGACTAGTGTACGCGACTGATACATCGCGAAGTCAAGAGTAACTGGCTGACGGCTGGATGAAAGCTCGCCTGTTTCAGCGCCGTGTCCCGAGGCTACCTGCACCGCTACCTGACGCCCTCCGACGAGGACTGCACCGTCAAGAACTGCTCCCCGCTCAACCTGCAGAACGAGATGTACCCGGCCCGCGGCGCTTTCGTCGTCGCCACCACCAGCAACAAGCCCTTCTGCAGTGAGTACTCCGGCCTCTGGCACCACGAGAACCACGCATCTCCCGTTTAACTTAGTCTCGGAACCAGAAGCTGTGTAGGCCCAAAGTAGACGAGTCACAAAGCTAAACATACTAACGGTCCACCAGCAAAACGCACTCAGTATGTACACTTGGAAGGGAACCACTGGTCAATACATTCGAATACAATAAAATATATAATATTTTATATGTTCATTAAATAAAAATCTTTGTATGACGTCATTTATGATATTTTAGGTTTGATTCATTGTCATTTCAATACAAATTTATTGAGTGGATGCAATTCCAAATCTCCCATTTTCAACGAATGCTTGCTCCAACGATTAACAAAATTCCGATGGTCTTATTCTTTTGAACGTCTAACATATCTATCCAGTTTGACAAATGATCTTGTGTTATGACATGTTGTGAAAAGTAAATCGTCGGAAAAATAAAATAAAAGCATGCAAAAATGTCGCTTTAGGAGATAGAGCTAATTGGACGCGTGAATTCTGTAGCGGTTTATTCTATTAGACGGATCGAAACCGACATTACATATTGGAATCAAATTGTAATGAGGTACCGGGAACTATAATCGCTTTCAATGTATGTTCTATTTTGCTAATACACACAACAGAGGGCTCCGGTTACAGTGAATCTCAGGAGATTAGAATTTTGTTGTTATAAAAAATTCAATGAATTATCCAAACACTGCAAATTCGAAACTTCAATATTTAATTTAACCTTCAAATAATTTTTATTACAATTTGCCATGTGAAGTTTTTATTAATTCTTTTTGCAGATCCATCTCCAATAACATAATACTCAATACTTGATTCTACGATACCCACACACAAAATATTTTAGTAGTTTTGATAACCATAAATTACTCTCACACTGTTCGAATAATTTTCTTTTAACCATCTTTATTATCAATATCATTTTCTTTTGTTCTGGAAGACGCTATCATAGCACTAACGACGTTACAGCCAGATGGGATTTCATTTCGTTTTATCTCGCAGTCCGAGACGATGGAGTCTTCAGGCTCTGTGGGTCCCCTTCTAACATTATTCTCGGTCCTGAGGCGAATTATTTTTTCCTGGAAGTTGCATTTTCTGTGTTCACAGTTGCCACACTTATGTGGAGAGTTCCGTTAACCGAATAATTCTATATCTGAGATTATTGAGTGCACCAGAGTCGACTGTATGATTTATTTCATACCGAATCTTCTTACATCTCTGATTTACTTCAGGGAGTAGATGCCAGGGTGTTCCGGCTTTGAAGAATACAGGGAGGAAGCGTCGAAACTGCGCAAATGAGCTCCTAAGACAATTTAAAGCATATTTTGCCTAATAATGGTTGAGACGCTACAAGTACTCAAAAGTTGTTTTGAAAAAATGCTTTCTATGCAAAACTTTGCATTTCAGAAGCATATTAACTTTCTAGAAACACGTAAGTTGTTTATTATATACGAAAGAAAATAATATATTTCAGTTCAGAAAGAAAAAAATAACACAGAAAGAAAAAAGTACCCAATTCGGCTTTTTTTTAAATTTCTGGGTTATTTTTTCTTTCTGAACAAATACACTAATTTCTTTTGTAAATAACAAACAATTTAGTGTTTCTAGAGAGTTTATATGCTTCTGAAATGCAAATTTATGCATAAAAAGTATTTTTTCGAAACAAATTTTGAGTCCTTATAGCAGCTTAGCCTTTCGGCATATTCAGGTAGTTTATCAGATAAAATATGCTTAATATTTGCTTAAGAGCTTATTTTCGCAATTTCGACGTTTCCTTCCTGGATATCTATTTCGCATCATTATTTTTGTCTTTCCCATTTCATGACTTTCACCTGCAGGAAAGAATTCAACTATATACTTTGAACTTAGAGTTAAGTTTTACTGAAGAACGGAACTTAACTTTAATTACTGAACTCTCTTATTAGACTCAACAGAAGCAAGCAAAGGAATCGGGAGTGGATGTCGTTGGAATTCGCTCGTGTGGGCCTGACGTGGCGGCATGTGTTTCAGTCGCGGAGCCCAATGTGGACGGGCGGCTGTCGCGGGAGCTGCATGGCTTCCTGCGCGGCCTCGGGCGCGGGTCCGTGGGCTCCCTGGGCAAGATCAGCGGCGCGCTCGGCGTGCCCACCTTCGGCTGACGAGAGCGCACATGGCGCCTCAATTCGCCGAACTATTGAAGCAAAGCAGTAATTCGATCGAGAGTGCCAACAAGTGAAGAAGCTATACTCTGTTTCCAACTCTGTTTTAATCTCCTAACAGAAAAAAAATATTGCAGTGGAAGCGTCTATGAAGTTCCATATCCGACACGAAACAGACAATATTATTATCAGTCATATGCGATTATTTTGTTTTCATTGTCATTTCATGTTTTGTGCCAAAACATTTTAGGGAGTGCAGGTATCGGTCACAATAGGTTCTATCTGCAGCGCTGGAATGATTCAAAGGTTTAAAACTAATACTTTCAATCAACAGGAGCTTGTTTAGCTACACTGATTTGTGAGGTATTACCAAGCGGTTATCTGAAAAATCATGTTGAACCTTCGGTTTTGTTTGGGCGTAATATGGATAAGATTGATACAATGAGCATGCATCATTACATTGTAAAAGCATCACGTTTTACCTCTTATCTTTTTATTTTGTGTTCCATTTTATGCAATAAAATATTATAAGAAAAACTGGTTTGAATTTTCTATGAAGATTTATTGCCTTGGTCGATATCCTATTCGAAACATTCATCTTAAACGCTATGTTATGCAAATCGCTGCGACACGTTCCAAATGTGTAGTACCACTCTCAAAAGTTTACTTCCACCTATAGTTTTGGAGATACATACAATATTAACTTTTGAGTTAAATTGGTTATTTTTGCAATTATTATCATTAAGCTCTTCTTATGGTTTTATTACATGAAACTTACAAATAAAAGGTGCAGGTAGGTGAACAGGAAAATATTTGGGTCCCTCACGTCTGTTACTTGTGTAATATTTTGTGGGCATTAAATAGGGTACGCAAAGGTTCTCGTCATATGCCATTTGCTGTTCCCATTGTGCTGAGCCGAATATCATTCTCCAGACTTATTTTGTTTCATTAGTTATACAGGAAACTCCAAAAAAGTGAAATTAATTTTTTATGTGTCCTAATATTCCATCAGTCAGTCGGCATATTCCCACATTTACGATCTCGCCCAAACCACGTTATTCAATACAAATAAGTGAGACTGAAAATTTGGGAACAGTATTAGAGCGTAGATCATGATCAGGTTTGAGGTTTCTAATGAGCCTTTCACGTTGGCTCAAGGAAATCTAAATGATTACTGCGTGATCTAAATGTATCGAAAATACGGGCAGAGCGTTTGGGGTCACGACAAGAAAGGTGGAACGTTCTTCACTGCAAAATTAGGATGACCTTCGAAATGGCCAAAAGACATTTAAGGACTTTTTTCTCAAGAAGGTGATACAGTGCACTGCAGTAATTTTATCAATGCTAGATACTATAATATGATACGCCATAAAAATGGCGTTTGTTTCTTCGTCAAAAGTTAGCAGAAAGGCTGTCCTCACTGTCAATGAGAATACATTTTCAACAGCTCCGCTCGCCCGCGGTATTGATTGTGTATGCAAGAAATCTATAGAAATATAAACACAATTCGAAAGAATTTGCGGAATAAAATATTTATCTGGAATATATGTAGATGGCTTAAAGTGATTGATTTTAGGTTTACAGACAGGATAACAGAAGATTTGGTGTTTTCCGTGAGGCGATAAGGATCGTAAAACCTTTAGAGTTGTCCTCCTGAGAGCGCGGGGGCTGAATGCAACGGTGCTACCTGGCGCTGAAAGTCCGCCGCTGTCAGAACTCGAACTCTAGACCCATCTGGCCAGAGTCGCTGCCTTGGTCACAGTTGTCACTCTGATGAGTCGCTTTCTTGTTTGTTGCTAGTGTATTTATCTGACGTGCATGTAATTCAATGATATAACTCACATGACGCACATGTAGTTAGGGGAAAACTATATTTGCTATTCCGGAGAGAACAAAATGAACGTCAAATCAGCCAAAAAATATCATTCCATACTTAAATTTTTTGTTTATAGCAACATTAATATAACATAATCTATATTGGAATGTGGTGTAGTATAGATTCGTTAACTAAACTACATCTATATAATCCAAAACTAAACTCAAAGCTACAAGTTTAGTAATTTAAGCATTTGTTGTTAACTAAATTTTAGGCGTACTAATTCTCTTATAACACATTTATTGGATCCTGTTCGGGTGAGGAATTTTTTACTACCCATCTACTCCTTACTAATTTGTTTACAAATTACTTACTAGCTGTGCCAATCCAAATGCCGCGCAATTGTAATTACAGAAACGTGTGTTGTAGATTCCATTGCACATGCTGACATTTTTACCGCTTATCTACAAAATGATAGTTCGACTCGCAGCTCTAATAAAAATGAAATTCAAACTGCATGTCTCAAACGAGAGGAAAAACCACATAAGAAATCTATTAAAATGCAAAATTAGACTACTTTTTCTTGCAATAATGAAGGCAAATAGTGGAGTAATTCCATACAAACTCTTCATGATCTAATATAAATGTCTTACTCATGGAATTGAAAATTGTCTTCTGCTTACTTGCATCCGTTGTAAGTAAAATCATTTTAGTGGGTCCTTTTTCACATACTTGATTGAGAAAACATACATGGCCATTTGGAGAGTTGCTTGAAAGTGTCAAAGGAAATAAGGGTAAATATATTTGGGCCAAAGCTATCTCAGATCTAGAATTAGAAAATATATGCTAAAGTAAAGACGCTACAAACGAAGTGCAAACGATTACTGTAATATTTTTATGAAACAAAATGTGAGAAAACGAATGGACTCCAGCATCTTTGTAACCAGTACCCATATAAACTTCAAATAAAATATGTACCTTGAAGTCATTATATTTGTGTCAAATATAACTTTTTGCGTTTTCAAATGCAAAGTTACCAGAGTACGAAATTAAGAAAAAAAGAACATAACGTTACACGATTTTCTATTTCTTCAATTGTTTCAAACACTACATTTCATAAAGTCGTAATTCTGAACTTCAGAATTTTTTGTTGACCTTTTCCCATAGTAATGACTCATAACCGTGAACCGTTGGTTTACATGAATCTTGAAGGGATTCTTTCAATCTCAGTTTATTTTCGGGTATAGCAATCCTTTTTTACCTCCGGGCACCATTTTTTAAGAATAAACTTTTTTACGTAATAATTCAATAAAACGTTTCCGCCCATATATAAGGTACGTGGTGCTAATATGACCAGTGCAGGCAAAATGACCAAGTACCGGCTATGGCGTTAGCTCAAACTATTTCCGATTGATTGTGCTAGCATGAGAGAGTGTGAGAAGTGCGTGAACGCCCTACCAAATTTGAGTCCCGCATTCGCACTCTGGAGCTTTTACTGTCTAGAACGTACTGAAGGCGCCTTGTCCTTACAACTTCTTACAAAATTTCGCACTATTGTTTTAAAAAAGGATTTATTTCAGCCGCTGTATTCTTGTAAGATTAGACTGTAAGCGTGTAATTTATATTATATATTAGTATAGCTAGGCTAGTTCAATGGTCATGCTACAAGAAAGAAGTTACTACGCCAATACTCGTAGCCATAAAACCTTCATGTGGGCATATTACCTTCAAATTACAATGTTTTTATAAAATAACAACAAAATATTCCTGAATCCCTTTTTTTTGTAATATAGCTATTTTAACTTGAAGAAAAGTGTTTAATTTCATCATGATGCTGTTAATTTGGTCAAATGTTGAAATATAAGAACAGCAAAATGTGAGGCACTCAACGTGGCCACATTACCTTCACATACCTCAAGTAAAACAATCGCGCTAAATTGGAATATGCGATAAGATAAACAGTATCATTAGAGTTGCCTAATAATCGTCATATGCAATGGGATGTGATGGAAAAACAATATCAAACTATTGTTTTGATTTCACGACAAACAAAGAAACTAAGTGAAAAGACAAAAATGGAATCATTTTTTGAACACCAATCATATGGAGAAATAGGGAAATAAATTAACTAAAATTGATGAAACACTTTGAATGAGACTAAATCTGTACATCAAAATTACATCCACATAAAAAATAGTCAAAATTATAGGATACGCCTAGTCTTGAGTGCAATAAATGCTTCTCTACCTTACAATATTTTCATATATATATATATATATATATATATATATATATATATATATATATATATATATATATATATATATATATACGTACAGGAATACCTACGGAAAGATATGAAATAGTTATTTATAATACGAGTGGTAAAAGTGACATTTTATTCTGTGAGGAGGAAATGCCGATGGGCCCAATGGCGCAATCCTACGAGCGAAATAAAATAACTTTTACCACGCGTGTCATACAATATTTTTTAGACAACCTTCCTTCCTTTTATTTTATTTTAATTCAAGCATAAAGATCAATAAATTGGGTACAATGTTATGTTAAGATCAGTTGTAGCTGAAGCAGTCAGACGAAAATATTTTGTTTTCTTTGATGCACTCAGTGTTTTAGCTGAACATTCGAGCATCTTCTCATTTTTATCACTAGGGCTAAATATTGAAAATTTAGCACGCAGTGCACAGCCTGAAGAAACTGCTTTTACTAGTTTGTCTAAAAAAATATTTATCCTGTTATTCTTCGTGAAGAGAAAAACAGATGCAACCCAATGAAAATTGTTTTTCCATTTGTTTTTCGGCCTTTTTCGAACAACATGACTTGCTACTGATAGACTCACACACATATCTCTCAATCACATATATCAGAACTGGTTTCTCCAGTCAGTAAATATTAGATTTCCCCCAAAAAAGTTGTAAAGTGCTGGTTTTACACAGTTTTTTTCTTCATATCTTTCTTTCATAAGGGAGCAGAAGACTTTTTGTAAATTTCATATTCTTACTTATTTGTTATCGCAACTACAATTACATTTTCCGCTCAATTAATCATTGCTCATTAATCATCATTAAATTAACGTGAATGAATGAATGAATGAATAATTTAACGAGCTCATTTAATGAGCGCATTTTTATCTGTTTACATTATTATAAATGATGCATCCATAATTACTGTACAGGGATGATTTGCTTCGAAAGACTACTAAAGGTTATTTACAGTTTCGAAATATTAAGAGCTTGGAGGATATTTTAGGCACGTTTTACCAGTGATTCCCAGGAGAAAGGGTTAAAATAACAATATAATATTATTGTATCTTGTGTAAGCGGGCGTAATGTGAAATTCATTAATAAAACATAAAATGTTTCCGCTATTGGGGCAACAGACCTGTAGCATCAGTCCAAATATTCGCTCCAGGACAAATTCATTACCTTCCCAAAAAACACATCTTCGTGGACAAGATAACCCTAATAGCCGCGTCCATCCCCTCGCGACGCGAGAGACGCTATCGCGAGGCGCCCTCAAACAACCATCAAGCTAACGAGAGGAAAGCGCTGGGCGGCGCGGCGCGGCGCGGCGCATAAAAGCCGGCGGAGCGCAGCGCATCTGACCACAGCGCGCAGCCACCTGTGACGATGGCGACGCTCGCCGCTGCGCTGACGGCGCTTTGGGCGCTGGCCCACGCCGCGACCGCTGCCGGTGAGTGTCAGCCGGGGGGGGGGGGGGTATAGTTTACTTGGAAATTACTATCATAGGGGATACTGCGAGTGCTTGGGAAAGCCAAGCGAGGAGAACCAGAGTTCCAAAATGCGCCAAATATTCAAATTACTTGAAAGCTATGTTAAAATCAAAGAGGTTATGTTATAGTACATACGCTATTTATCGGACATCGACATAGCGATGGATATATACCGCCTCCTAAGATAAATGAGTCACAGTTTATGATTGACCAGTAGGGAGAGGCGATAAGAAAAATCGGATAGAAAATGCGGTAAACTTCTTGAGATACCCAGCCCTGATTGGGGCATTTGGGTTAAACACTATTGGTTTTAATGTCACGAGTGGAATGGTCGAATTAAAGTTTGCTGGATATACGCGAAAAACAGTGTTTCAAAATCTACATTTTTAAAGCACTAGCAGTTTTCGTTTAGAAAAAAGTTAGCTCTTTTCAACCAAATTTTGTGATTGTTTCCTTTAAATAAATGGCAGTGGGCCAAAAACCAGATTTCACTGCACAAATTACACATATTAATGATATTTTAAAATTAATGGAATGCGCTTATACGCTTTCATTTACTCAGATTAAGATTCAAAATGAAAATTCACAATTATAATAGTTTGCATAATAATTTTGTCATTATCCCTAATGGTCAGATAACATGAAAAACACGGAGTTATAGGGTGGGGGACAATAAATGATAATTGACATTTCAGAAGTTTCCATTGTTATATTGTATTGGTTGTATTCGAAAAGTATTTAAAAAATCGTTTATTGTAGCTGTCTATTAAAGATTATCCAACATCAAATTTAACGTGTCATAAAATATGTTCTATCGGTTGTAATAAATATATGCCATTGTAAATGATTGCGAATGCTGCTAGACATCACAGGATTATACAAAGTCACGCCTAGTTGTACGAACAGAAGGAATTCAAACTAGAAGTTACAGTCAACTTCTTCATGTCATAAAATCCTTAAGTTTTTGAGGCAATCGAATCGACAATATTGCATCAGCGCGCGCAATAAATTGTCAGGGAAATGAATCGTGTGGGCTCGTACTATTGTAGTCGCAAGAACTGTTCTACTTTCGAGAAGGAAGCTGAAGACTGTCAGCGTATTCAAACCGGAAAAGCCATTAGTGGAATTCCCAGGTCAATTCGGCGCAAACAATGAGCGATCTTTCGTTACCTCGACTCCGCCTGGCAGACATACGTCTACAGACTTTTATGCAATAAACATAGAAAACAGCTTGTAGATAGACAATGAACGGGTAGAATGCAGCTGCTTGAAAGTAAGTAGAAATCGGTTACTTTTCCATTATTATTTCGAAAATACAATTATAGTTCAAGGGTCAAAATCATTTCTGACGGTTGACTGAGTGTGGACTCCCACACGTCAGCGCGAGACACCGAGTGCGATGACGGAATTCGCATGCCTGTTCACCCCGCAGCGTCAGTTGTAAGGCAGCATGCGACAGTTTTCCTCATCCGATAAAGAGGGGTCGCATGCTACTATTTATGCAGGGCAGGGGGGGGGGAGGCTTGAATCTGGGCTCTGCGCAACCCTGCGGTTCCCTGGAGCATTGACAGGGGTTCCGAAAGTGATCACTACCTGCTCAGCCAAAATTCATGCAAAATGGAAATCATCAATACAAGGAATTGTTCACGGACAACCAGGGTAATGAACTGTTTCAGGAAAGTGCTAGATTAATATATTCAAGAGAAAATTATATTAATATAAATTGGATTTAAAAAGGCAGTTGATTGTACAAACATGTAAAATGAATGAATCAAAAACAAAAATGAAAGAAAAAGAAGAAAAAAGATAAAACCAAAGTATACAAAAATAAGAATATTTTTCATTTTCAGATTTTGATTTCATTTTCAGACTATATGAATTTATTTGAATTTTATTCGTACCTGATGATCCGTAAAACTATATTACGCGAAACGTCGTGTTTCGAAATTAGTGGAATACAAAACATTTGTTGGAAAAGTTTGTACTTTGTCCAAAAAGAAAAAAGATACCCTGGAGTTAAATTATTATAATATAATTAAATTATCATAAATTTATATAATTAAAATAGTATGTGCAAATCACTGTATTTTATAAATTTTTGATTGTTTAAATACTTTTGAGAATTTGAGTAGAAAAGAAGTATTGATAATCTATTTTATCTTCTACTTGAACAAGAGGTTCTTTAACGATAACCGTGAGCTCGAAGGGCTTGTGAAGTAGTTGAAGCCCCTGATGTTGGGGAAGGAAAATGCCAAGCTTCACTCGTTGCCGCCCTTGATTGCAGCTGGCATTTCAGTACACAGTGACATTCCAGTAACATTGAGTGGACTCTGAATCGGCGCGTGTTCGGGCCCCGCGCGGGCGGGTGCGGAGCGTGGGATGCGGGTCGCGGGGCGTATGGCGTGTGGCGTGGGGCGCGGGGCGGAGGAGGGTTCGCCTGCTGCCACGCGGGGGGTGGTGTGCTGCCTGTTGCAGAGGAGGTGTGCTACCCGCCGCTGGGCTGCTTCAGCACCGCCGAGCCCTGGACGTCGCCGACGCGCCCGATGCCGGCGCCGGACTCTCCAGACAGCATCCGCACCACCTTCTTCCTCTACACCAGGTGCGCTGCTGTGCTTTCAACGAGACGCCGCGAACTGTCGATAAATTCTCACTTTCCAGGGTTGCGACATTTCACATATACTCTAAAAAATCTCAAGGACACTCTCACACGGAATTCTAGTAGCTGTTTCAAAAAAATTCAAGCCACTATCACACGGAATTATGTGAGTTCAACAAGAGAGAGTAACAAGACATAATAATCCGTTTTCAAATAGACACCCCTGATTTTTCTCAAGCGAGGAGGGGGAGGGAGACTACAGAAGAGGTGTCCAGCCGACTTAATGTTTTCTTATAAATAATTATTCATTGATGCTGAATATAAAATGAATTTTTGTTGTTGACTTTTAACGATTGCGTGACTTTTGTCGGTGTGGAAAAATAGCTAAAATATATTTTTGAATACGTAATCATTGGTTTTGGCGGAGCCGAAGTCCCCCAACCCCTCCCACCTCCAGTTCAACGTGTCGTGCGTTATTTAATGAAATTCCATCAACATCCATTATTTCTCACGGGACGATCATGACAATTACAAAAAATTCTTTAACGTGGCGTCGAAGTCTCGTAATTCCAATATTCTTCACACGACTAATGAAGATATGAGTAAATACTCTTTTTGTTTAAAAAACATTTTTTCGGTATCAGGGGACCCAAAATGTGCATTTCTATTGAAATATCGAAATAGTTTTTCGCAGCATTACATCACTCTTGCATAAACTACGTATCGTATATACGTAGTGTACGGAAAAGTAAAAATGGAGCTGTTTTTGAGACAATTTTGAAATTGTTGACACTTCATTTAATTATACCCGCCCCCACGCCGCCAAAAAATACACGGTTCAAATTCAAGAGGCACGACATCAGCCAGAACGATTGGGAAAGATCAATTTTGAAAATCCTGCCTACGGTTTAGCCGCGTTGATGTTTACAAACGGACGGAGGGACTTCGGTTCTGAAACAATCTTTCAGAATTAACGTCTCGCAAAAGGGATTCTGACTACATTATGAGTAGAGCAAGTAATTTACTACATACAGGTACAAGAATTATGCACTTTTGTGATATCAGAGACCAATGATCCAATTTGGTGTGCCCGAAAAATAAGCGTTTTATTGCAACATTACATATGTTTCTCTATACAGCGTAAATAATGTACGAGAAAGTAAAAACAAAGAAGATGAAGGGGAATGACTGGAGAAAAGGAAAAAGATGTCAAAGACGAAGAAATTTCAAAAGTATGTTGTTCTGAGGCACTAAAAGTTCCTTGGATGTAACTCCTCTACACAAGGAAATGCAGGGGCGCCTGTTGTGCCGCTAGCCAGTGGCTGCAAGGTCACACCGCCACCACGCCTCCCTCTCTCTTTCTCCTGCGCCCACGTAAATCTCCGGGTTGCTGCTCCACGTCCTCCCGCCCTCCCTTATACCTCATTCAGCTCGGGTTTCTTCCCGAAACTCTCCCTTCAACTGACAATTTCCTCAGCGGTGGACTTCCCCATCAAACAGAATAAGTCTCCACCAATATTACACAGACACAAACTTCAAATTGATGGGATTGGTTTAACAAATTTATCCAATATAACCGAAACCTCCTGATACATTTTATTCATTTCCATAATACGCCATTTCGTGTAAAATTAAATCGTTATTAATTTAAAACTACGAAGTACAAAAGGGTAGGAAGTTTCATGACAACTTGTTGCAACCCTGATTCCTGGTTCATTATTTACTAATAAAAGACCAATCACTGTTTTACCTTGGGACGTGTTCTATTAATCTAACGTACGAATCTTTGACCGAATAATAGTTTCGAAAGGAGGGTAACTCTTGTGGTAGGGGCTAGACTCGTTGCAGAGGAGGAGGAGCAGAGTGTTCCTGCTAGTATACTTCTCACGAAAGGTCTTCTAACGGGTAATCGTGCGAGAAAGCGCTGACAGTTAAAGGCAAACAAAGTAGTGAAAACATTGCGTACTTCAGAAGAGGTTCCTTATACCACACTTTGGGAACACTCACTGAATTGAAATACGTGACAAAGGTGTGAAGAAATTATTTGACTGGCCTAGAAGTACGTATATATTATTACGTATAGAATGAACACCAACATTTACATTCCGACATCATAAATCGCAGTGAAAGTGATAGGTGCGTTTGTTACACTCTGGAACACAGTACTACTCCTTTAGCAGGAGACAGTTTTTACGTTTTGTTTCTTATTTGAGTGATAATAGACACTTATACTGTGCAAACGTACGCAAGATAGTTCATTATCCTTGAGCTCGCAATGATCTAAGAACGGGCAAATTGGACGCGTGTTCGGTCGACAAGAATGTCAGGCTCTAACAGCAGACGGATTCTGCCGAAAGGCAGTGCCTCCAATTTATTCAAATGCACTAGACATCCGTCTTCAAAGTACAACATTCATGCAACATTTTTATGGAATTGGACACATGAAAACTAGTTATTGATAAAGATATTATATTACACGATTTGTATAACTTGAGAGATATTTGTAGTGTAAGACACTTTACGTTCGCATTGCATCAGTGAGGTTAGATTCATATACGGCAGACACTACAGAATATCCATTTCATTAATTTACTCTATATTAATACCCAACCATAATTTCGGAGAATTGAATTGGAGGCCTTCCTCAGAGCTTCTCGCATACAAATAAACGAAACAAGTTTGTCTATGGCCATGGGAATGTCTCAGTTTAGGCTAAAAATCCAAGTTAATTTGATACCGTTTTGCCGATTTAGAAGTTCGACAGTATTCGGACCCATAAAGATCACACCAGTGCTATGGTGAATGTACGATCAGAGTGGATTCCCATTCGACTGTACAGCTCTCAGACTAATACGATCGATTAGTACTGAACATTTTAAACACCCTGGAACGCAGGCCTAGTCGCACTGTGTCCGAAACTTTTTGGCACCTGAACCACTCAGCACCAACCAGTTCCAAGTCAGCAGAAAAGTATCATACGAACGAGAATTATTCGGTTAAACTGAGTCATTCACTGTGCTCGTGGACAAACATATTTTGTTAGTTTCTGAACGAGTAACCCTAAGCAGGATTCACAAGGTTACTCAAGGTAGCTTACAAGGTGAAGCGATTGTAGCAGAAAACAAAAGAATCTGGCGACTCATGTTGCTGATACTTTCAGCATACATTTATTTAACTTTACTATTACAATAAGATCATTTTTTTACAAATAACTCTTATACACAACCTTTTTCGTGTAAAACATAGCTCTTAAAGACGTTTATTATTTTTGCTTTCATTTCATCTCACTTTTAGGTAAAAATTTGGAGATGAATATCATGCGCAGTTGATGGCACTGTGTTCACTATCGTTCGGCGGAGTCAGTCGGCCGATCGCCCCCAGAACGTTTTTCTTCGGCCGAACTGGTATCCTCCCTAACGTGCCCAGTTTGAAGTATTACTGATGGTGAACGTCCGAATTCGCCGGAACGCGATTTCTCGCGACCACGCCTTCACGCTGCGCGTTGCGACTTCCAGGGACCGCCCGGCGACGTTCACGGCGACGACCGTGCCCGAGACGTCGCTGAAGGGATCCGACTTCAACCCCAAGCGGCCGACCGTCTTCATCGTGCACGGCTTCCTGGAGCAAGCGGAGAAGCGATGGATGGAGGACATGAAGGACGCGCTGCTCAACCGAGTAAGCGAAACGCCGCTTTCTTCTCCTTACGAATGCATAATCGGGAACGATATCTTTCAAATTACAACACCACACGATTTCCAGCCTGGGAGAGAGCACTCTAACGGCTCGCCACGTACAGAAAGTGAAAAGTAAATTCACCTGTTTTGTTTTTTGTTGTTTTTTTGCGTGCTACACATTTCTTTTTGCTTTCTTGAGTTTTTTTTCTCCTAAATACAAATTACATTCCCTTCTTTTGAAATGCAATGCAATTCTTTTCTTGAGGTTTACGAGTATTTTCCACAATTTTCACTGAGGACTTTAGACTCACTGGTCCCCATGACCAACATATACCAAACTGGAGCGCCACGCGATTTTCTTCTCTGCAAGCAAATGGTTGTTTTGAACACGATAGATTTGAGGACTTCAAACCAAGGGTCTGTTTCGAAGCTATTATTAATAACTTGAACTCCTCGTCTCAACTGATCGTTTTCCAAGATCTCTGTTAGGAGGAAGAGAGCAAATGAAGCATCAAGGGTCTCGGTCTCACTAAGATCAGTGAATGACGTGTGAAAGGGGCGTGGTTTCCAATAATGCCTTCCGTGCGAATAGCTCAGAAGAACTAAATATTATGAAATTTATTGGTATATACATTATATTTTGAGAATTATTTAGCGCAAATAAATAATCGAATGAAACCAAAATGACAGGGTCGAACCTCAAATTTACAATATTTTGAGATACACCATTTTGATAATTTCATGAAGAGTCTTAAATGATGTGTTTCAGAGCTTAGAATTTGATATTTCTCTTGTATCTAAATTGTTTTGCACCCGAAAGCACTTGATCTACTTTTTAGATCTTGAACCGCCACATGTCACTAATCGTTTAGCTTGCTGGTAGGTGAACCCCTCCAAACCAATTCTGGGCGCGCTCCCATTGTTTCTCGAGTGCAGTAGGCGCGATGGAAAGCTGACCGAAGAGCGAGTTTTAGCTCATTCGGCATTGGCAGGAAAACCCGGAAGAAGAATTCTTTCCGACCTTAAGGAGACCCAATATTGACTAATCCAAGGCTCGACGTAAGTAGTGATTTTCTCTCATTCACGTCAGGCCGTTGGATATATATGCAAAATGGTGGTCAAACATTTTTTTAAATGGAGGGACTTGGAGCTCTTATGATATCAATTCAAAATATCTCAGTTACCTAGTAATCAATAACAAGGGAAACAATAAACCCGATTCCATGTGTCAGAGATAACGAATAACAACATTATCTTTTTCAGTTGATAACAAAAGTTCTCATTTCTTACCATCACCTCTGCTATGAGTGATGTCACCGTAATTCCATTTATGGGGGAATAATTTGAAAATATACACTATTCATATTTATAGAATAAAATGTTCAGAAATGGATATACACTCTCGGACTATTTAAAAAATCGGTTATGGTTGTTACAATTAAAACAAACATTTAGTTTAGTACGGAACGCTTTAATTTAAGGAAAAACGTTACTCTAATTTCAAAACCACGTTTCGAAAGAAGATGTGATTCTGTCCGTTTCAATCTTCACTTCTAATCTCTTTTTATCGGTACAGTAATTGCTACCAAAACCATGACTTCGCAGGGATTAATTTCCTGTACACAACCATCTCTTCACGCCAACGACCCTCGCTGCAATTTCAATTGACCAAGACTGAAGTTATCAAAGAGACTTTTGCGTGCGTTCCATGTGCGCAGGCGGACGTGAACGTGCTCCTGACCGACTGGGCGAGGGGCAGCTTCGAGTTCCTCAACTACCTGCAGGCGGCGTCCAACACTCGCGTCGTGGGCGCGCAAATCGCCAGGTGCGCGCGCATTAAGGGCACTGCGCCACACGCTCCCGCTCCCAACCAAATCCTATGCTAAAGTTGTTTTGAGCTTTGCTAATGACACACAGGGATATTACTCTTTCATATAAAATATAAACGAGTATTATGGAAAATATTATAATTATACTCTGCACTGAGAAGCAGAAATTGCTTAGTGCAACCTGACATCAAGAACGTTTTTGTCAGTATAAACGCCTAGCAATATCGGCCAAAATGTCAAAAAAAACCGCTGTATTGCGATTATAAACATTAAAAGACTTCGAAACAGTTACAAAATTTATATTAAAATTGAAAAACTAAAATACAAAAAAAATATTTTTACCGAGGTTCTTTTAAACAAATTTAATGTTTCATCACGCCATCTTTTGTGTCGTTTACAATTACAATTACATCTATGTTTACAACTTTTGCTTCATATTTCCTGCATTTGCAATTTTCATTCTTTTACTTTCCCGCTGCGGCTTAATAATAGAATTAATGATTTAGCCTCCATTATACACGATGTACAAATTAGAGAATTAACAATAAGCATTGAAATATCCTGCCTAGAAAATTACACAATTTCTCATCATTCATTGAATTTACAACTTGCGTTAAAGATCTGACGCAAGCATGAACGATGTTCTTACGTAAATTACTTTTTTTAGTTTATAAATTCCGAAATTAAGTTTCCGTAAATAAGTTTTTCTTGCTCGTATTATTTTTATCAAGATAATTTTGCCATGTCCTCGCGCGTCGATTTAACCACGAGTCTCTTTTTTAAATTCCTTTATTTTTTTCTTGTTCAGCAAATCATACTTTTCGGGTAGTTGGACTGGGGATTGCGTTCATCATATTAACATTTTGAATTTTTATCCTATTGTTGATATTTGTATTTTAGCTTCCTGTAACCTTTGCCTAATGGTGATTACTTATCTAGTTAAATTATTAGGCATGTTATTTTGACGGGATTTCGTCTTAACGTCTTTGAATATATTCATCTTTGAATTTTTGTTCACATAACTGAGTATAAATATCTGTGGTGGTCAAAAATCGCCTTTAGGGAAACGAACAGATTCTGATTCTTGAATTTGTGGATTTGCCAAAGTCTCTGATATCTAATGAAACATTCGCAATTGTTGAAGCTTCAAACAGCTCTTCGGGGAGTACTGACGAAAAGTATTCAGTAATACCTTGTTCGATAATAAAACTTGCAGAATTTGTCACTTAAAATACAATATGGATATAATGCTGCCAGCACATAAAAGCATTACGGTATTGTCCTAAGCACCAAAAACGTTGAGAATAAGCTTATTTATTACCTGTCAGTATTTGATTTATTATTCACGCAATGATTTCGTGCGGAGCGCCCGAACGCAGCCCATGCCACCTTCACATGGCAACTGTGGGTAGCAAATCGGACTCTCTGACCTTCAGTAGATCACACAAGTTTTGCAAGCACTGACGGGCGAGGAATTTGCTAGCCACCGCGAGAAATCCTTTTTAACGACTTCACACGAGTGTTTGCACTACTCAACAACTATCTCGGACGTTTCTGTGAAAGTCTAGCGCCTACTTAGTGCTGCCCGCTGAGAGTCCAATGATGACATTCTTATTGCCTTTTAAGGCGTGATTGGCACTACTGTTTACGTGTTATTGCGCGCGCTTTTGGGAAAATTTAAACCATTTCGGAGGCGCGGAAATCATTAATGCACGAGCTTAGATTTGATTATTTGTTATTTTTCCTTTATTTCAACGTGTGTCTAAAATATTAAGGAGTAATAAAAGAAAAATAACAGATAAAACAGAGATATTCTCATAAAAGGCCATTACATTTGATTAGCCCCAAACAGAGCTTATTATCGTGGGGCAGACGCTTGGCGCCAAATTTAAGGAATGCGAAAGCATACTTTGATCGCATTCGCAACGCAACGCAATCATTGTACGTCCACTCATTGCCATTTTTGAAGTAATATCATTTTGGGGGATCTCTCATTCATATACATCAAGTACAGAGATTTTATATCCATGCAGGAGAGATTATGTTTTTCCCCCTCAGAAAGCATTGTCACTCTATAAGCAAGTACATCTTACCAAACTTTCGAGCTCGGTTTTCTCAAAACTAGGAATTCTGATGTAGAAAGTGTGCAGTGCACAGTGAGCGCTCGCCGTCGCTGGCAAGTGTGTACGTGTGCGTGGGCGGCGGTTGCAGGTTGATCCAGCAGCTGCAGTCGGACTTCGGCGTGCGCCCGGAGGACGTGCACATCATCGGCTTCAGCCTGGGCGGGCAGGTGGCCGCCTACGCGGGCAAGGCGGTGCGCGGCCTGGGCAAGATTACCGGTGAGCCACCACCATCACTCGCAATTTCAATTCATTCATTTATCAGATTGACATTTCGCTTATTAGCTGCCGCGTTCTGCCCTCAGTTGAACTCCGCTGTTGACGGAATCGTCATTAAAGGGAAGTAACACTTCTTTCATTGGTGCTTGGTAGGTAAACGTTCTGATTTAAAAGAAGAGATATCATGTACCTGCCAAACACCTATACAAGATGAATTACTTACCAATCATGAGCAAATGTTACATGTGTAACTTCGTAAAATGGTATTCCATCACAAATTCTTCGGCAAAAAGTGATCATCTTCATTCCTCCCTGCGGGCCCGACAAAGTCGTAACATTTATTCCGAAACACCCTCAAGTGACGAGTATTTCTCCCCCTTATTCTGTGGCGTGTGTGTGTGTGTGGCAGCGTTGGACCCCGCGCAGCCGGGCTTCGAGGGCTACGCGGACGCGGTGCACCTGACGCGCAACGACGCCGCCTTCGTGGAGGTGCTGCACACCAGCGGCCGCCCCTTCGTGCCCCTCGGCGGCTACGGCATGGTCGCCCCGCACGGTCAGTGGCTGCACGCCCACGGCAGAGTGAAAGACTCCTTTTCAAGGGGTCGGCATCATGAACCTCATTTCACGCACCCAAGTAAAGATATTACGCGACCACTGCAAAACTCATTGGGTTATCCAAAAGCGTACAGGTCTTCGTAGAGCTACAATACGTGTGTGAACAGCGCCAGTAATTATACACACAAACTGCAAAATGTGTGAAATTACGCAAATTTTTTTGGGCCTCTCTCTTACGTAAATTGTAAAATTGACACTTCTCATAGTGGATCTCTCAGGGTTGTCGATCTCTTCACTCAAGAAGTATACGCTATTGCGCATATCGTAGCAATGCAGACAATAAGAACACAAAGACTATTAAGTAACATAGTGGTGAAAGCCCAAGAAAATAGATTGTCAAGTGAAGCCCACAAAAATGACACCTAAATGTATCCTTTTCTTGTACTAGTGTCAAAAGTATATTCTTGTTTTGATGATATTCATGACTAGTTGTCAAGCCTTTTAAGTGAATAGATATGAATCGTGATGCTTTAATCTCAAGCTGTTATTTTAGTCTTGTGAGTAATGACTGGATTAGTCTCGCGCGGTCCGAGTGCACATTCATTTAAGAAAATTACACTTTAATCTTTGTGCCTAGCGCGTACTTGACACCTGATCATTTATGAGGGTGAGCGGGGTTCTTTATTCAATCAGAGGCTTCCAATTTTGGAAAGGCCAATGCAGCATTGCTCTTCGTTTATCAAAAATTCAATGCACAATTCAGTTTCAATGTCACACTTCATAAGTGTTTTTTGTCGAAGGTTACAAATCAAGCAATTTTATTGCGAAATAAAAATTAATTTTACAAGTCCTGCGATATCAGATACTAATTTTATTAATACTCATTGAAAGACTGTGTCAGAAGTATGATTTTTCTGTCTTTAATTTGCAATGGTCTTGAACACCCAACTTTACAAAACAAACGTAAAACGTTATTTCTGCTACTACAAAATTATAACCAAACTTTTGTACTTTCCTGAACGAAGATTATGGATAAGTTACTGAATTAATTAATCTGAATTGATTTTTGTTGCAAATAGAGGGAGGTAGAAAAAATATATATTCTACTCGTGCGTGAATTTGGAGTATACCTAAAAATTACTGCACTTCTTAGGGAATTCTCACGTGCTAATTTTTTTATATGATCTATATCTCATTTTCCACGCCGTTGTCAGTATTTTGTACGACCGTTTAAGAATTTTGTATATTTTAACTTAATTTCCGTTTTTTTATTTATATACAAGATATATAATAAAGGGCAGAACCAGAATAGTTAACTGTGCGAATACCCATACACATACTCGTACACATTCATTTCTCAGGAAAATTAATAACCAAGCTCAAAAAGACGAGTTTTGTACAGTCAGAAATACGTCGAACTACAAATTGTTGCTTTTCTTCGAAAACTGAACATTTGTTGTTGTGTTAATGTTGTTTTACATTAACACAGATTTCAGTAAGTTTATTTCCCATTGATTAATAGATACAATGATGTTGGAGGATATTTCGTGACATTAATACATCTTGCAGGTCATGTGGACTATTACATTAACAATGGCGCCTACCAGCCAGGCTGCATTCTGCCGTTAACGCTCCCTAAACTCCCTCAAACTCTGGAGGATCTAGTCAACGTTCCCGTGGACGGTAAGCTTGTTCTTTTTTTCTTTTTGTGAGCTACGAATGGAAATTCGACTTGCAAATATTTTATAAAATACAATGTACCTGAAGTTTAGTTATTCACGCTAAGTGCAAAAATCATCAGATGTGAAATACAGGGCTGTTAGGAATTCAGGAAACATAGTCTTACTCTATGTTTGCAAATTATGTTTTAATGTTTGGCCGAATTGTACTGCATTAACTACCGATAATTTTAAAGGTGGTGTTCAAAATGTAATATCACTATAACATGACAATTAATTCGGAAATATTCCACATTAGAAAGTATAGAATAGTAGGCTACATTAGAAGTAAATATCGTCACATAGAAGATACACGTATATACCACTTTATGTTTGTACGGGTATATTGCATAAACTGTAAAAAATATAGTACAATTTCTATCCAGAATTTCTTTACAACGAAAACCTCTCTATAACGTAGACATTACTTGAGCTTGTTTTAGCTTGCAACCTGTTCATTGACACACTCTCCTTATTTAATGAAGCAAGTATCTGGTTCCACGAGTTCCGTTATAGAGTTAACATTGTATTTCATTTCTATAAAAGACTTCACAAAATATTGATTGAACAATGCACGTGCTTATCGATTTTTCAGTGGTGGAGACTGTGGTTGCTTGCGACCACGAGCGCGCCCACGAGGTGTACACGCAAGTGCTGCAGAGCACCTCGTGCATCTTCTGGGGCCACCCGGCCGGCGTGAGCGCTAAGGAAGTTGGGTAAGTAGAGGGCGCTGTGCACAGCATGTCTGCCTGTGGCCTTGTGAGGTCCAGCGAAATCCGTCGCATTTAAAACACGAGCTCCGTCTGTTCTTCGCGAGAAATATTCGCGCGAAAGAAAGTTGCAAGAAATGTTTCTTCCTCCTACCTTCTTGTCTCAAGAGGTTCATACAAGCTCGGGTTACTCGTACATGCTTTCGAGGAAAGGTAAATGTTAAGAACGTTCTGCCGAGTAAAATTACCACGTATCTTTGGGTGTATGAGCCCATCTTCACCTATTCAAGTTCTCAACATTCTCAACGTTATTACTCCCCACACACTTTCGGGATACGCGCTAGTTTTACCGAAAAAGTTTGCGCGTCTTTTGTTCGTACTGGAAAGGAATCCACGAGTTTCACCTGTCCGAGTTAACTGCTTCTCGGTGTACGTAAGGGAACAAGTTATACTTTCAGAGGTTTAACGAAACAGCACAGGGTACCGGCTTACCGAACATGTAATGTTCAGGATACGATCATCAGCAGACTCAGTATTCTGATGAAAATCGTTTGCCGACAGATTTTATTGTAATATTTTTGCTTGCTAGAGGATATGCGTATCCGACGGTGAAAGGGTGTAGATAAATCTGTCACTTTCTCGAATGAATATGGTGGCCTGTACACAAACTGGATTGATAAATTCCAAAATTTCAAACATTCATGTTACCCGTAACTATCACTGTGCATTCTCTTTCAGTGTAACGAACTTTACTCTCTCCCTCTTTACTATAGTTTGATATTACATTCACTTCCCCTTCATATAGTCGCCCAATCTGAAAGAGTTTCATACAACCGTTAAACTAAATTGTTTTATTTTGAGGCCAAGTCAACAAGACCTTTAGTACAAAAGGTTCATGTTTTGGTACGGGTAATTCAATCACAGTCAATCCTACATGTATGCCAATGCATCGCTGGCATTGGGATAATACAAAAACACTCGTATGATAAGAAAGCTACAATTAACTACTATTTCTTCCAGCAAGGCTATGCTTTCAGCCATTACTTAAGCTAAACTCACCCCACACGAATAATCCTAAATATTTGAATATCAATATAATTATTCAAATTATTTGAAGATGTTAATTGGATTGTTGGTGAAGTAGATACCTTTTTTATTTTTGATCAATAAATAGAGATATTGTCAGGTATCAATATTTTAATTACACTAATGATCATTTCGATCGCGTAGCGATCATCCTCAGAGCTAAAAACAATACAAATATACAATGAGAAATATTAACATGTTGGTTATTGTATACAAGATGTTTTGAATGTATACAAGATGTATTGTATTTGAAGATGCTTTCTACGAGTCAAATAATTATCTAACAAATACTATCTGACAATTTCTAAGTATTTATTTCAAGCCAGCCTTCATCAGTGACCATGTATTTAACGAGTTAAATAATCACCTATATATAAATAATTAAGTTTCAAACATTTTAGACATTTTCAAAGCAGTTTTTTCAAGCCTGCCTTCAAACGAAAAGAATGGATTCCTAAGAATCAATCTGTAACTTAGCTGCTGACTTGCGTGCCTGGCCCTGGGTCAGCTTTCATCCCCGGGCAACTGGTGTGGCTTGAGGTAGCCCGCCGAGAGGGCGGACGCTCAGGCGCGATCAGCTCTAGCCTAGTGAAAAGCGTAACTGCAAGGAACAGCCTCGGGCACTCTAACCTTAATTCTTACACCAGAGCAACCCTAATCTACAGCCCGCTCTGCCCTTGTGTGTGAACCTTGCTGGTTCGAGGACTTCACTAGACCGATTGTCGTTGCAGGAAGCCGTGTTCCGACTCGAGCTGCGTGAGGCTGAGCTACGGCTCCTCTCGATCTCTACGCGCCGGCTCCTACATCGTGCCGACCACCGCCTCGGCGCCCTTCTGCAGTAAGTAATCCCTTCGGTGGCGCTTACGATTACTACGGCGTGTTCTAAACGGGTGCATTTATTTTCCACGGCCCCGCTCAGGACAATATGCAACAAGTCTCATCACAAAAATACCCCCTAGATGTGAACGTAACAATTTTAGTTTCTACATTTATAAAGTTGTCGAGTTCAACGATGGGGTTTCGTAACATATTAAAGAAATAACAAAATTGATCTAAAAATCCATTGGTAATGTGATTTACCTAGATTACAACTTAATTGTCAGTATAATCAAAACTTTCTTTGAACTCCTTCAGAATTCATTCTACCTCTAGTCCATCGCATGCAAAACGGTATTTTCAATGTTATAAAACCCGTATCTTCCTATTATAAGCGTCTGGTGCATCAATACATTACTTTCCAGTTTGGGTTTCCGTGAGAAATTCCAAGGTACATCAACATACCTCCCCTCATATGAAGATTTTGCTTTTTTACTTCATATTTTTTCATATATTTCACTACAATATTTTTCCATGCAATGTCACGAAATTGTAATATGTAACTAAATTGGCAATTATCTTCACCAAGCTCCACCTAACGTATCTCCCGGTTCATACAATTTCCATGGGCACTATAATTATAGGGAAACAGATGCTACATTTTACACAAAAAGTGACAAAACATTATTCAGTTTCACCTAATCTACAGCTGTCCCTACTCCCCACCCAACACACACCAAGCCAGTACACACAAGGGTGCACTACTTGGGAAGATATCTCCCCTCGTCTTTAAAGCGGCCATGAAGAGAATCCAGAACGTCCGTTGATGGTGAAAATAAATCACCTAAATAATAAACAGGAAACATAGAAATACATTATGGAAGAGTAGGACGTTTTGAGATACCTCTTCGGCCACTCATGCCTGACTTCAGTGTATTGTCCTGACTGGCCCGTGATTGACGCAACCTGGCGGGCAGAAGCAGCAGCTGCTAGTACCTGCATTGGCCAATAGGTAGCAGCACCTCCCTTTCTACGAAACGAAATATGCGTTTGAAGCTTTTATTCGCGATTATTCACATTACTTCGCAAACATATAAACACAGTTAATGCTGGACATTGCATAAATTTTCGCAATGCGAAGAAAACGAAAGACGAATTATCGCATCAGTACACATTTAATAAATGCAGAAGGATTTAAAAAGTTAGCTTGAAGAGACCTTAGGGTAAAAATGTTCAAAGGTCGACCTGGAAGTGTAATGTTCAATTCGTGCAATGCGTCCATGGATTACAATGCTTTTACATTTCCTCGACTCCTTCCATGACATTTCCTCACGAAATGAATTTTTTACATCCCCTTATGTTTTCCTATGTTGCCTCGAACGAAAATATTTCAAGTGTATTGATGCAAATAATTGTCAAAGAAATTTTTTGTTTATTTATTTATTCTGTAGAATTTACGGATCCTTTAACTTCTAATGCCATTGAAGTTGTGTGAAGTGTAAACAGTATTAGTTAGGACAATGACGATGCTGGATGGAGATGGAGAACTGATGGGATGAAAAAGGCAGCGGAAAGAGAAGAATCCCGAGAGGTCGCGTTGTCCACCACAAATGAAACACAAATTGGTCGGGGATCGGTTGTGGGCTTCAGCAGGAGAAAACGTACGGTATGCTCTGGTCATTACACCTCGAGCTCCTCCCTCCCTCGCAAAAAATTAAAATCCTCTGCACAGTAGTATATTACCACCTACAACGCTGTGGTTCACCATATCGCTCGGAAGATGAGTTGAGAATCAGAGATTCAGATGCCATAATGATTATTTGATGTTTCTGGTAACTGCAATGGAAATTAGTTCTGGTAAAGTAATGAATGTGGGGAGAAGGTGGGGTTCCTCTTCCACTGATTGCTGAGATCCGGTGACGACCTACTCGTCGGCTTGAGGGGAATTTCCCCTCCAGGTGTCTCCTCTCCAGCCCGAACAATGCCATGACAACTCACCTGACTGGTCGCCTGAGATATGCGATATTGCAGTTCATCTTAGTGTTAGGGTACTGCTCCGGCATTCGCTTGGTGCTGATGGAAAATATCACGCAAAATTGCTGATCATACCAGCCGCGCGCTAGCTGAATTCGACCTAGCTTACCAGGAGAGGTGGCTCAGGGCATCGAGTGCCGACACTGCAGTGTCTCTGAACGGGAGGTCCTCGGGTTCGAGTCCCCACATTGGATTTTCGACATTAGCCAGAGGTAGGACGAATTCAGTCGCTGGCTGGAGGAGAATACCAGGCGAAGGTCGCAGCAGTAACCTAACAATCGGGATATTTCCTTCCTTGCCATATCCTCATCCCTTGTTTACACAGTTACACCTACACTACCCCACATGCGGGAATATCGGCCGGCAGCTTGTCCCGGTTGGGGGAGTTGTGAGGAAACCCCGTTAGGCGACGGTGGATCGGCGCCTGAACTCACCGTCCTCCCGAACTGAAACACGAGCTGGATGTTCGGGGCTAAGCAGTCGACGTGCTCGTAATCACCACCCGATGGCGCTGGCGTTGCAGTCGCGGACGCGGCGCGCGAGGCGGAGGAGGCGCGCGAGGCCCGGGCGAAGCTGTTCGACGTGAACGGGGGCATCCTGGCGCCGCTGCTGCAGGCGGTCGAGGCCGTGGGGGACGTGCTCACCGGCTTCCTCGGCTGAGCAGCGACGGCCAACACTTACGTGGGCTAATCGTCATAAGATGAATTTTAAGAACGGAACACTGTGGAACATCGGGGGCTTAAAATAAACAAAAATTATGAGGACGTGCTTACCAAATTATGTTAATCATCAATTAGTAAGTTCTCACTGGACCAATATACACATGTAATACAATATGAGAAATTTCTTCTCACAGGAATACAAAACTTGTAAGTGTTACAACAGAAAATTGTTTCAAACGGCTTCTTTGTAATAACTCTCTTGAAATAGCATAACATTCAAATTTAAATAATCATTTTCTTGGTTCACGAACAGAAATTCGTTAGTAATTGAGACATAGTGTCAATTTTATCACATTTTAACAAACTTTCAGAATCCAAAAGACTCAATCTTGAAAGACTTCATAAAACGTATATTTCTGCAGAATTTTTTTTTTGAGTTACTAGAATTAATAATTTCATTATAAATTATTGTACCAATATTGCGATATTTTCAGTAACACCGTATTTCTATTAGCTGTAGATCTAGATGCATTTTCAAACAGTGTTTGTTAATAATGTATTTAAAGTTAATAGATTTAAATAGTCAAAACGATAAAATCTGTCATAAGCACACATACGAAGAAATAAGCTCATTAAATGCAAATTATCGTAATTGTTGTGGCAGCTTTAACATTTACTTGCAGATTTTACTAAACACCTTAAGAAATGAAAAGTGCACGTGTTATATGGTTGGGTTTGACGTTAACATTCTAAATGATATTAATAAGATTTTTGTCATAAATTCAATAATAAATCTTTTTATATTGAAGACAACTCTCTTTTTACTGTACTTAAGCATAATACCATTCTCCTTCCACATCTTTCTGTATTTTTTCCAAATTGACAGGACCATTTTATTTTCCTTTCCTTTTCCTCTAATTACTTCCTTCACTTCTCCAAATAAATCTCTTTGCGCGCCCCTCCTATTGTTCCATCTAGCAAAAACATCGCCCCCACACGCCCTCAGTTGTCTTCCTCTCTCGATACATTCTGAACATCGTGCCTTAACTTCGTTCCTTATTCTGTCTCTTTCTGTTCTTATTATTTGCCGTTCTTTTTCTCTCTTAAAAATTCGCAGTTCCCCACACCAACAGACGCGAACTAGGACACTGCGTTGTCTTTGGGCCTTAAACTTACTGCCTATTTCTTCTTTATTCCTCCCTCCCTCCCTTCCTCCTCCACCCTTCCTTCGATTATCCCAAAAGTATCCCAATCCCCTTCTACACACATCTGAACATCCATTCCTACACAATCCCTTTACCCACAAAATTCTGTTTTACGTGTTTGAAACCGTTTTGACCTTTTGTTGCACGTAATTACAGTGTATTTAATTTAGCCTAACGAACCTCAAGGCTGTTTGATAATACAGCATTGTGGATTAGTCTCACAAAACTCGGAAACTGACATTTTACATATTCGAAGGCCAAAAAAGAGTGAAGAGGAAACTCTTTCTCGACACCAGGGGCCCGCGACAAACATCCTTGTAATCCCCGTTCCCCAACGTCAAAACCCATGCAATTTCACTCGGATGGCGAGAGGAAATAAGTATCCTCGGAAGTGTTTTCCTCGAATTCTGGGGTTTAGGCGAAGAATAATTGGAAACGGAACAATCCAATCAGGAAATATAATATCCATATTTTTCGTATTGGTAAATGGTTTCTCAGAAAACATCAGCTTTCGTGATGCATATACAGTATTCACTTCAAAAGGTTTTTAAATGACAAACGGTTTTTCTCTAGTTTCTGGGTTTGCCTAATTTCACGTGATGATAGGCCGAGTATCAAATAGTTCGTTCTCGTGAATATGTAAAGTTCTACTGTGAAGTGTAAAACTGCAAGGCGAACACCACTATAAAATACGCTTAGGAAATGTCCATTAGAAAATTTAATTTTCTACTACGGAAACTAACAATTAAACCCTGTAAAATGCATGAAAATAAATTATCACAAATGATAGCTAAATATGACACTAATCTCGTTGTGCTCAAATACCATAATTTCTCGCACTATTTGTAACTGGTACGCAGTATTGAAGTACACGAACCCGAAAACAAGTTATTGAATCAGCAGACTTTGTTTCTCCGTGCCGAGATTCAAACTTTGGTTCTACGAGTCAACACACCAGTAACATTACCCCAATAGCACAATTATTTGTCGCATAGTTTCCATCGTTTGAAATTTTTTAAAATTCAGATAATTCAACGAAAATGAGACATGCGAAAGTTTTTAGCATCCTTTACTCTATACGCCTTTATAACTAGCGAGATAAATAGACTGACAATAACTTAGCTAACAG